GTATTCATTACATTAATAAAAAATCTTTAGACGTTTCGGCCACAATCTGACCATCTTCAGTAAAATCACAAATATTAGTAACGACGGCTGAATTCAATGTCAGATATATGTAAATTCTGCGTTTTACTAATATTTGTGATTTTACTGAAGATGGTCAGATTGTGGCCGAAACGTCTAAAGATTTTTTATTAATATAATGAATAATTAAATTTCAAAACAACATCCAGTGCTGTGGTTTCATGCTCCTTTTTTATATGTTTAAAGAAATTTTACATTCGGTTAATTTTTATATATTGGAATCATTATTTTTTCGCATAATTTGTTAGTTAACGAAAACAATATAAATATTTGTCTAATGTCAGTACCTTCATTTTAAAAATCTAAATGACTATGTGGCGTTCACATTTTTTTCATATATCAATAAATTCGAGCATCATAAATGTTCCTATTTTTCAACACATTCTTCACAATACATTCTGATATTTGCGATTAAACATTGGAGCATTACGCTTATAATTACTAAGCTTTCATATATAATAAGTATAATATAGTTTCGACAAATATTGACCAATATTTGACATATAAAACTTGAATATACAAACATTGTATTTCCTTTCAGGCAATTGTGGAAAGTAATCAAATTGCGATGATCAATAAATCTCATAAATATCAGAGTATAACATTATATATATACATATATATATATATATATATATATATATATGTGTATATATACACATACACCCACATATACATATATATAGTTATATATACATATATACATGTACAGTTGAAATAAAACATCCTTCATCCGTAAGTAAGATTTATTTATTATCAATATTCTAAATAATTTTTTTGCAAATTCTTATTTGACATGTACTGTGTATGTAAACTTAAATATAAAACTATCTAAGTGTTTACATTTTTATTAGAAACGCTATGGGATCCGACGTGTATTGAAAAGCTGCAATTTCCGAATGGAACACCAATTTTTCTCATTGAAAATAATCCATGATTGCATTTGAAATTGAGAATACGATGAAAAATATTATGGAGTAATGTTTAGCTAAAATCGATCAACTTATATATCATCATACATTATACCACTATTTTTTTTAAAGATTATATCATAAAAAAAGAATTTCTTTATGATATAAACAGCAATAATTCATTTTAATCTTAACAGGCAAATATTTTAAAAATATATAATTTTATCAAAAAACATTTCAAATAAAAGTTGTCTGATATAGAGGGAGATGTCCTTCTCTATACTATACAATTCGATAAGTATTGATCAGTATTTGACAGTATAAAACTTAAACATATAAAAATTGTATTTCTTTTCAGACAATTGTGGAAAGTAATCAAATTGCAACGATTAATAAATCTCATAAGTATTTTTTTAGTAAAATTGCATATTTTTGAAATATTTGCCTGTTACGATTAAAATTAAATTATCCTGTGCAATATATCAATGAGACACAGGATTTTAATTAATATAAATTGTATGAATATCTTAATTCAATCAACATATAAATACAGGATAAATTTTAAAAATTATTGGAGCAACAAAGGAAAAGAATTTTCAATAATATTAGGTGTTGGAATTAATTCGTAGCGTTTTACAAGTGATGGGAAGTACTTTCATTAATGTATTTTTTAATGCTCATGTGAAATAAATAACATTCTTTCATTAAAAAACGCTACGAATTAATTCCAACACCTAATAACTTACAGTTTTGATAGATCCAGAGAAATAAATAGTGTATTTTTTTTACGTTTCTTTCTCTCTCTCTCTGTCGCTCTATCTTTCATCTCTTCAGACATCCGTGAGCACATGAAAACCATTTGCAATGTAAAGTTCTGCCTAAGTCCATCGGGAAGTATTGCGGCGTAATTATCGACAATTCCATAGCATCGACAAAATTTATTTAGTTTTGTAACACGATTTTCAGAGATCAATTATTGATAAAATGATAAAAAGTAGTTTGTATCGCTACAATTTGATGAGGCCTGATGAACTTGGCAGTCGTTACCTAAGAATACATTTCGTTTACAATGGAATATAAAATAGTAAGTCTGGAGTCACACATGGAGTATGTCTGTAGTGAAAATGAATAAAAAAATTGATGTAATTTTTAAATATAGAAAAAAGCGCCTTGTGTGAATACCCGTGGTCCGTATTTCAGTCATATTTAACGCACAAAAATCGTGATAAGTGTTCTAAAGAGTCCAGAGTGAGGCTCGCCGCATATATACTCAGTCGTTTATTTCTTCTTTTTCCTAGGCTTGTCTTGGGGCGCCGGCAGATTCTCCTTTCGCTTCGATGTTGGTTTCGTTCCTATATTGCTGCCCTTCTTCCTCCTTTCCTGCCTCTCGCGTTCCTCGAGTTCCTGATTCTCACGTTCTATCAAGGTTATCAGAGTATTGCAGCGACGCTGCAACTCCAAAGCGGTACGCGATTTGACAAACCAGTCAAAGCGGAACTGCGGGGCAGATCTTACCGTGGCACGAAGTTCCTCGTACACATTCTCCTTATCGAATCCGAGTTTGTGTAGCATGCAAACGAGAAATCGATCCTCCTCCTCGGTATAATTTTTGCCCTTGTTCGTGCCATAGGCTATCCTGAGCTGGTGAAAAGGCGCGCGATATCTAGCCATTTTCGCGTCCAGTGCTTTCTTGATGCCAGCTCGTCTCTGTATCTTGGCCTCACCGCGCTCGATCTGCGCCATCACGCGATCTATATCCTGCAGTTCGTGACAACGTTCCCAGAAAACGGCCGAATATTCCATAACTTCCTCCGGTGTTTTTCCTTCAACCTCCTTCGCAATATTCTCAATATCATCGCGACCATACTTTTCATTCGCCTTGATAAACTGATTAAAGTCCCGCTTGGTCCAGTTGGTGAAGCCCTGAAGCAGTAACTTCTCCTTCTCGGTAATTTCTTCGTCGGTGAGCGGCTGAGCATCGTCAATTTTGCGCTGTTCCTCCTTCTGAATTCGGGCGGCGTCCGATCCAAGTTCAGGATTCTTCGGAACCTTGTAGCCGACTGTTTGTCTGAAATAATAAATCTCTTGATCCAATAGTTCGAAAAGTCGTGGCGGGAAGAATTGAAAATCCTGCACTATCGGTTGTTTCGGCGGTCTTGGTGCTTTCGGCGCCTTCGGCTCCGACACTCGCAACGCTTCTCTGAAATAAGCGTCGACGGCATAATTGGCTTTACGTTCGCGTTTGGGCGGCTCAATCCAGTTGCCTATTCCAAGGATCTTCTGTTTTTCACGATAATCTTCACCCTCAAATTGATATACAGAGTCTGTCGGTGCATCGACGGTAAAATTGCGTAACGAAGACTCTCCGAGGCTCTCGAGTTTCTGTTTCATCTCCTCCGTTTTCGCCTCGCCTTTCTGTAATATCGTATCAATATCCTCGTCGGTAATGGCGCTATCCTTGGACGCAAATACCTCGTTAGCACCGTGTCTGATCATATTTAACATCTCATCCTTGTTCAATGCCGTTTGTTTGGCATCGACTAATCGTCCCTGCTGTATAACGAGCTTATCCAAGCGCAACTTCACTTCGGCCCGCTCGACGATCTTCTCCTCCACCGTGTTCTCCGTGATAAACCTAAAAACTCGAACTTGCTTCTGTTGACCTATACGATGTGCACGATCCATCGCCTGCAAGTCCATCTGTGGATTCCAATCAGAATCGTAAATGATGACCACGTCGGCGGTAGCCAAGTTAATACCCAATCCACCAGCACGAGTTGACAGCATGAAAATAAACTTTTCGCTACCAGGCGCGTTATACTCGTTTATCTGCCGCTGTCGATCTTCATGAGCCGTGTTGCCATCAAGTCGACAGTATTGGAAACACCTCCAATGGCAATAGTCTTCTAGAATATCCAACATTCTTGTCATCTGACTGAAAATCAAAACTCGAGATTCTTGCTGTTGCAATTTTGGCAATAATTTATCGAGTATCACCATTTTACCACAGTTGTAGACGAGATGCTCGTCAGTAGTGTATGGCGGTCCAGGTTCTGCACCATCAAATAAGTATGGATGATTGCAGCACTTCCGTAACTGCATCAGAATGTTTTGCAGTCTCATCTTCTCTATTTTTCCTGCACCGTTTACTATATCTATGTCCTTCATCAATACTTTGGTATACCATTCTCTTTGCATTTTACTCAAGCCGATGTATACCTTAATCTCTTTCTTAGGCTTAAGTCCCTTTTCTACCTCGGACTTCAATCTTCTCAGAAGGAATGGTCTCAGAACTGCATGTAACCTCTCGACTAAAGAATTATCACCTAAAAAGCTATTTGTATTAAACCATGAGTCAAAGTCATCAGAACTATTGAATACATCTGGTAGAAGGAAATTCAACAGAGACCACAGCTCGTGGAGATTATTTTGAAGTGGTGTGCCTGTCAAAAGAAGTCGATTGGTGGTCTTAAATTCTCTGAGGATCTCTGATAATTTAGACTTCTCATTTTTTATCCTGTGAGCCTCATCTATCACCATGTAGCGCCAATTGAACTTTTTGAATACAGATTTCTCCTTAATGACCATCTCATAAGATGTCACACACACGTCCCATTCTCCAGGCATCATCACGTCTCTTATAAAAGTATTCCTAGTCTCTGCATCTCCAATTAGGCAAACAGCTCTGAGTGTAGGACACCACTTCTTAAACTCGTTCATCCAATTGGCCAACGTTGATTTCGGTACAATAACAATGTGAGGTCCAGGGATATTACGAAAGTGCTTCATGTATCCCAGCAGGGAGATAGTCTGTAGTGTCTTACCAAGACCCATCTCGTCAGCCAAAATACCATTTATACCGTGCTCATAAAGCGATATCATCCAATTTAAGCCGCGTATCTGATAGTCACGCAACTCACCGGATTTTATGTAATGAGGGGATGATTCGAAGCGCGTAGTAGGCGCCACACTAGCATTACTCTCTGCCAGCAACTCTTCGTCCTCCTCTTGTTCGGTTTTACGATGTCTATGATCGCCGGAGTCTGATTTAGGAATCTCCGGCTGTTTTCTGGGCCTACCAGCTTTAACTTTCAAAGGGCTACCAGCTTTATCCTTCTGATTGTTCGTCATAAAGTGTGAGAAAATCTCAGTCTGTTTTAGCAAGTAATCGAATCGCTTGCTACGATCTGTCTCGAGCTTCGTTTCAAAATCGCCGCCCCTGGATGATGTGGTTTCTGCCGAGGACCCATTCGAGTTATCCCCGGTATCACCGGTATCCGCGTTCTCATCCGGCTTGGACATCTTGTCACACACAGTCTACACGCACAGTTTAGAGTGTGTCCTCCTCTCAAATCTTCGCGGATCGTGTAATACTTACGTTAAGTGCTCACGTTAAGCACGGATTGTACGATTCACTTGTATATATATATATATATAGTTGATGACCACTTTGCTGGTCAGTCACGGTTGTTATCGACACATCAAAAGTGATTCAATACATCACATCAAACACTTCGCATGTGTACGGCATCACCATTAACCGCCATGTTATACCGGATTCTTTTACGCATGCGCAATAGTGCAACACATGAGCGTATACAGGTGCGTTCCGTTCAATTCCCTTGATTTCGTTGCACGCATAAAGACACATTTTCATGGATGTTAGTTGATGCGCGCCAAAAACGCGCGTTTTTATGATGTTATGTTATAGCGTTTTCCACTGGGAAAACTGATGCAACACTAGCGCCGAGTTAGGTTTAGTACCTAACCGAGTTAGGTTTAGATGAAAACTGCACTAGTGCAGTAAAAATGTAAGTTTAGTGTGTGCGATTCAATGGAATATATCATTAAACATCTATTTTATTGACATCTATTTTATAACACCCTTAAAAATACATATAACTATGTTCAAACTTAAATTACTTATTTTACAATATTTTGATTCATTAATTTATTTAAAACATTTTTTAAAATTAAATGTTTATACTTCAAGAGTTTTAAACGTCAAAATGTCATTGCATAGGTATTATTAGAAACATTGATTATGTAATAATATAATATCATATCAACATATCATATCTTAGCACGGACATAACCTCAATTTCAATTTTCAATGGTTTTCACTGACTTCAAAGATAGTGGAGCAAAAGTTGAACTCAGTGCAGGTTTTTTTGTACCAGTTTTCACAGTGGAACAACACAATTGCACTCAGTGCGCATCAGTGTTGCACAATCCAGCAAATGAAAATGGATTGAAAAGAATTGAAATGGATTCAGATTTTCAGAAATATTGATTCACGAAAATGAATGCTTTTCAATTCTGAATGCATTTTTATTCATTTATTATAGGAATTGCATGGAGCATATCTCTATGCCTTTCAATCTAAAAATAATATTAACTTTTTCTGTGTAAAAACACACAATTGTGATAACTATTCAATTCAAAATTTTGAATAAGAAATGCAGTTTTTTAATCCAATTGCATCCAATTGCATCTAATTGAATCCAATTGAATCCAATTAAATTTAAAAAAACCTATTCGCTATTTTTAAAATACGCATTCGGAAAGAAATTTCAATAGAAAAAAATTTCAATCCATTTTAATCCATTCTCGTTTGCTGGGTCAATATTCACAAAGACGCGAACTTCCGTAAGGCCGAAATCAGATTATTGAAGAATAAGATTGAAGATTGAAAGATTGAAGTTTGACCTATCAGAACAAAAGGAGCCAAAATTTCTTTGTCCTCATTAGTGTAATTTCAATCTTTAATCTTTAATCAATTTTCAATGCATAGTCTGATTCCGGCCTAAGAATGTTGGTCTTTAATAGGCTGCAGTCGATTTGGATGCTCACGCGCTTTAAGCGCTTGTAATCATCATTCTGTCTTTGGGTGCGGTCTATTTGACGCTACAAATGCTTCAAAACTTTTGATTGACCAAAAAAGGAAGAAAGAATTTTATCAATTGCCCAATCAAAAAATACTTCGAAGCATTCGTAGCAACAAGTGGAGCCTTTATCACAGCCTTTATCGTTTATTAGACGTAAAATAAGAATAGACATAAGTACTGAAAAGCGCTGAAAGCGTTTAAATGGAGCTATACTATCTCGGTCGTTGAACTTTTGTTCACAACCAATTCATCTTTCTTCCTTTTCTTTCCTTCTGGAGAGAAAGGACAAAAAAAAGGGGAAAAGAATGAACTAGTGCAAAAGTTCAATTAAAAAGAACAAGCCTTGTATGTAATGCAGTGCATTAATTCGTTGGGTTATAATAGAGGCCCGACTTAAAAATAAGAAAATGCAGTACTAAAGTTAATAAAAAATTCTGACAAAATTCTTAAAATTCTATGAGAAAAAAATAGATGATTTTTGTCTCTTGTAGTTTTTCTAGATTTTTGTCTCTTGCAGTCTTCTAAAGTTGATAGTATTTGAGTAAAAAATAAACGTCGATAAGTCGGGTCGCTACTATGACCCAACGAATTAAAGCATTGTACTAGTTCAGAAAATGCAGCAATAAAAAACAGACCTATTCAGAACTTCAGTGGAAAAAGAACAGACCTCTTATATGAGGATACGTAATTGAACATGGCGCTGCATTTTGCTGCATTTAAACGTGAAATAGGTAGTTAGTAAACAAGTTTGTAATACATACATACGTAAATAATGTAAAAAGTATAGGATAGAACTACCAATTATATAGAAAAGATAAAAGTTCTTTTATCGTCTGGTTTAGAATATTTTATTAAAAGAGTAAATCTTAAGTTTCAAATGATGTGTGTGTGCGGACGTTATCTGATTAAGTAACATCTCTTAATGGATTATATTTAATTAATTTAATTTAATTTCCGTGTTTGGTAGCGAAAAAGCTATTATAGAATATAATTGATTAAACGAATGCATATAATTCAGAATCAGAAATCATTATTTCAAAACAGTGTTTATATTGTAAAGTTAAAGACACTTCATGGATATTGTCGAAAATAATTACTTACCTTTTCTCGTCATTAAATTAACATATTCTATAATTATTCTTTTTCTTATAATTAGTTATATTTTTTATTTATATAATAAATTTTACTGCTACATTAATTTAAAAAGAAATAGTGCGATTACGATGTAAATTTAGCATATTTAAAAAAATAATTATATATGTGTATAGAATAAGACCTATCAAATGGCACAATTTCATTTTTTTATATTTGAAAAAGAGCTAATTGTAAGTCCATTCTGCTAATTAAAATTTAAAATCATTTTTACATGAATCACACACTGCGCGCTCGCGCGTCAAGCCGTCGTCGACGATGGTTTCCCGGACAACGAGGATCACTCAGATGCACAACACTCCACCCCTATTCAATTCAAAATTTTGAATAAGAAATGCAGTTTTTTAATCCAATTGCATCCAATTGCATCTAATTGAATCCAATTGAATCCAATTAAATTTAAAAAAACCTATTCGCTATTTTTAAAATACGCATTCGGAAAGAAATTTCAATAGAAAAAAATTTCAATCCATTTTAATCCATTCTCGTTTGCTGGGTCAATATTCACAAAGACGCGAACTTCCGTAAGGCCGAAATCAGATTACGTATTGAAGAATAAGATTGAAGATTGAAAGATTGAAGTTTGACCTATCAGAACAAAAGGAGCCAAAATTTCTTTGTCCTCATTAGTGTAATTTCAATCTTTAATCTTTAATCAATTTTCAATGCATAGTCTGATTCCGGCCTAAGAATGTTGGTCTTTAATAGGCTGCAGTCGATTTGGATGCTCACGCGCTTTAAGCGCTTGTAATCATCATTCTGTCTTTGGGTGCGGTCTATTTGACGCTACAAATGCTTCAAAACTTTTGATTGACCAAAAAAGGAAGAAAGAATTTTATCAATTGCCCAATCAAAAAATACTTCGAAGCATTCGTAGCAACAAGTGGAGCCTTTATCACAGCCTTTATCGTTTATTAGACGTAAAATAAGAATAGACATAAGTACTGAAAAGCGCTGAAAGCGTTTAAATGGAGCTATACTATCTCGGTCGTTGAACTTTTGTTCACAACCAATTCATCTTTCTTCCTTTTCTTTCCTTCTGGAGAGAAAGGACAAAAAAAAGGGGAAAAGAATGAACTAGTGCAAAAGTTCAATTAAAAAGAACAAGCCTTGTATGTAATGCAGTGCATTAATTCGTTGGGTTATAATAGAGGCCCGACTTAAAAATAAGAAAATGCAGTACTAAAGTTAATAAAAAATTCTGACAAAATTCTTAAAATTCTATGAGAAAAAAATAGATGATTTTTGTCTCTTGTAGTTTTTCTAGATTTTTGTCTCTTGCAGTCTTCTAAAGTTGATAGTATTTGAGTAAAAAATAAACGTCGATAAGTCGGGTCGCTACTATGACCCAACGAATTAAAGCATTGTACTAGTTCAGAAAATGCAGCAATAAAAAACAGACCTATTCAGAACTTCAGTGGAAAAAGAACAGACCTCTTATATGAGGATACGTAATTGAACATGGCGCTGCATTTTGCTGCATTTAAACGTGAAATAGGTAGTTAGTAAACAAGTTTGTAATACATACATACGTAAATAATGTAAAAAGTATAGGATAGAACTACCAATTATATAGAAAAGATAAAAGTTCTTTTATCGTCTGGTTTAGAATATTTTATTAAAAGAGTAAATCTTAAGTTTCAAATGATGTGTGTGTGCGGACGTTATCTGATTAAGTAACATCTCTTAATGGATTATATTTAATTAATTTAATTTAATTTCCGTGTTTGGTAGCGAAAAAGCTATTATAGAATATAATTGATTAAACGAATGCATATAATTCAGAATCAGAAATCATTATTTCAAAACAGTGTTTATATTGTAAAGTTAAAGACACTTCATGGATATTGTCGAAAATAATTACTTACCTTTTCTCGTCATTAAATTAACATATTCTATAATTATTCTTTTTCTTATAATTAGTTATATTTTTTATTTATATAATAAATTTTACTGCTACATTAATTTAAAAAGAAATAGTGCGATTACGATGTAAATTTAGCATATTTAAAAAAATAATTATATATGTGTATAGAATAAGACCTATCAAATGGCACAATTTCATTTTTTTATATTTGAAAAAGAGCTAATTGTAAGTCCATTCTGCTAATTAAAATTTAAAATCATTTTTACATGAATCACACACTGCGCGCTCGCGCGTCAAGCCGTCGTCGACGATGGTTTCCCGGACAACGAGGATCACTCAGATGCACAACAATCGACCGAGCCGATCCGTGGAGGACGACGATTGTTGTTGCGAGGATGTCGTTCGTCGAGAAGCCGACGTTCGGGCAGGAGATCGCGGTGCCAGCTAGACTGCCGATAATCCTGAAGCAGTTCTGTAAGGCTGCGATACGCACGCAGCCTTACGATCTGCTCAAGTGGTCCAGCTCGTACTTCCGCGCTCTAGCTGATGGCGAGGAGCCGCCGATTAAGTCGCGACTCGAGTACCCGCCACCGAGCACGGCTTCCGGTTTGACCTTGGGCTTCCTCAGGGTGCT